ACACACACACACACACACACACACACACACACACACACACACACACACACACATATCTGCACACAGCCTCATGGTACAAAGATATGTTGAATAAGAGATTAAGATGAAATGAATGAACATGACAAAGGAAGTGAAAAATAGTCAGACACATTAACAGCACTCTCTACACACACACACACACACACACACACACGCACGTACGCACGCACGCACGCACGCACACACACGCGCTGAAGGAGGAAAAGTGAGGGAGGAGTTAGGTGAGATGGAGGATCACTTACTGGCTGTACAGTTTATCCTGATACAGTCTGGAGGGAGAGCAGAGCAGAGGGTTAATGCTGCACACATAGACATATGCTGTCCACGCCCTGGGGACGCTCACACCGACACACCCTGCACATTTTGTTTTTGATGAAAACAGGCACACGCTGCTGAGAAAACACCTACCAGGGATGCACTGACTGCAGTTTTCTGGGACGATTCTGATTTACGGTTTTTGCAAAGCTCTGACAGCCGATTCCAGTTTAGCCTAATTATGATTTATTTTCAAGAACTCCAACTGGAAGCATACAAAATATTTTTATGCTAATTTCTGGTGTACTATTATTATTGTTATTACTAAAATAGGACAATGAACATTAATCAGTCCACCGTATTGAATGAACAAATGCACTAAAATCTGTTTTTTTATAGTTAAATCTAGAAAATTTTACTGTTTTTACTCTAATTTTTCTTTTAAATGGGTCCAAGTTGAGATTTTTTTTCCTTGTCTTTGGAAAACTAAAAACTATAACGCTTCAAGTCAGAAATTCTTTAAAAAAATAAACTACATTGTTAGAAACCAGCTATTTCACCTCCTTGAAAGAACAAAAAGCACCAAATGACAGAGCAAACCTTTCATGAAGAAGTGCTCAATTTAAAGAAAAAACTATAACTGTGTTTAGGATCTTTTGAAGGGAAATTCTCTGATTTAATGTCAGACTGTTACTTTGTCATTTTAATGATTTTATTATAGCTAATTGCATGACAAATCACAGCTTGATAATTATAAATAATTGTTTAAGATGTACTTACTTTTATTCAGTTTGATGATTGTAGATCATTTTTACATCACGTGCTTCTTCAGACTTTAAATACCTTACAGCTATTACTTTGACAATTATTAATTACGTAAAACCTTCTATGCTGAAGACATTATATTGATCATGCAAATTATATAATTAGCTATGGTGCCTTTAAAGTTACAAAAGGAAAGTTTGGGTTTTGTTCAGCAGTCCATCAGAAAATAGTTCAATTCTGGTCATCTGCAGAGCAATCGTTGCATTCCTTTGTGTTTTCTTACAGCAGCGTGAAGCAAATATATTTTCAGTGATTTACTTTTTTTTTTTGAGGGAGTAAACATGGAGAGAAATATGTTTTATTTTATTTGTTTATTTTTTTTGGAGCAGCGTGCTTATTGGCTGCTCTGGCCTGAGCGACATCTGTTAGTCAGCAGCCCAAAAGCAGTGGGAGACTGAGATGGGTAATGTGTGTCAGTTTGTCTAATGACACCGAACACATCCCGATAGTTTATTCGCCCATTTAGAGGACAAATCTTCACAAATGTTTGGAAAACTCAGCCCTCTTTTTTGTTTTTTTTCTTTTTACTCATGATGCCTTGGTGTGCCTTGTGGCGTCAACCACAGAAAAGACGTGGCTGCAGACAACCAGAGACCAACACATGCACCCCTCTGTACAGATGTGTGTGTTAACTTGTGTTTGAGTGTAAAAGGGTCAAAATGAACAGGAAATAAGAAACAGAGCTGCTGGTATGTGTAACGTGTACTACTTGTGTGTTTTAGTACGGGTTGTGAGTGTTTGGATTGACTGTTGAAGATGTTGGGGATGCACAGGTCTGCTGGGAGTGAGCAGAGAGACTGCAGCTCGAGGCTCGACCCTCTGTTCAACTGTAACTCTGTGCTTTACACACAAAACTACATACAATACTAACATGTTTCTGGACTGGAACACTAAAATATGACTTCAAACACAGTGAACTTCTGCTGAAAGGTAAAAATTACACAGAAAATAATAGATTTATCTTATCAAAAAGAAACAAATAGTTAATAAAACTGGGCATGGGCCTGTATGAGATAACCTTGAGCAAATAAATACCACAGTTTCACAGTATGACTGTATTAAAACAAACATTTAAAACATTTTTTTTATTATTTTAGTTTAAAATAACAAGCAAAGACTATTACTACTGCTGTCTAAAAATGACAGTGCTTTTCATTGACTATAATATAATAAAGCTTAATATATAAATTATTTACATTTAATTTAATGCACAGACAATAACATAATAATAACATGTTGACAATCAGTGTAACCTTTTCAGCACTCAGGACAGATGTCAAAGCAATTTATGATCAAATTATTAATATTTTGTCATATATGACATTTTTATTTGTGATAGTATTTCAGATAAATCTGAATTTTTTAATTTATTCACACTTACTGGTAACTTTTTAATAAATGCACATTATTTAGCCTTACTTACACTTTAATAAATGGTTAATTAAACTTGAAAACTCCATTAATTAAGGATAATTCATACTTAATAAGACATAAAATAATACATTTATTAATGTTTTACCAATAAAGTCTTATTACTTCCAAAACCAACATACTCATTGTTTATTCATGCTTAATAACTCGTGAATTAACGGTTCTATATATTGTGTGTACATGCATGCTGTGTGTTAGACATGGATTGATGGTTAGAGAATGTTTGAATTGACTATCTACTAATCCTGCAGAACATCAGTAATTAAAACAATTGCTAACAGTTTATTCTATTTGTGAACTCTTCTAAACTGAAGACTATTTATGCTTTAAGTTTTTRTCAATGTAGACAAAACCCTGAAGGGCCACAAGTTCCTTTTCGTTTTTAGAAATCAAACCCAAATCATAGTCAATTTGAACATTCTCTAACAACTAATCCATGTCTAACACATGGTGTGAAAGTACATTTATATGAGCATGTACATACAGCAAAAAGAATAGTTAATTCATGAGTTATTAAGCATGAATAAACAATGAGTATGTTGGTTTTGGAAGTAATAAGAATTTATGTGAAAAGCATTTATAAATGTATTTATATTTGTGTGTATATGTTAATAGGTATGAATCCTCCTTATTTAATGATGTTTTCAAAGTTAACTAACTATTTATTAATGATTAAGTAAGGCTAAATAAGGTGTAGTTATTATAAAGTGTTACACAATTATTGAGTGTTCTTTCTTCAACTCAACAGGCTGTTTTAAAGCCGGGACTGCAGAGGACTACATGGACATAATTCAGCATGAGCAGCTTTTATATCGACACTGTAGGGAGTTGAAGTTTCTCTTTTAAGAAACCGTTTTATGTTCAGCCAATTTGAGAATAAGAGGAAAAAACTGTCATCTTCTTTTCGCATCATTTCCACTTGGTTCACACAATTGGCAAACTAACTACAAATTAATTTATTTATATTTCTAAAGTAACTGTACTTACAGTAGAAAAAAAAACTTCCTCTCTAATGATCTGCTGTTCGTAACGTAACATTAAGAGCCTGACAGGCTGACTTTAGTTAATTATTTAGCTGGGTATTAGCTTCTGTAGCAAGCCTGCGGTTTGTGTTTCATCTGCTAACATGCTAAGTCTTGTAGCTTGTTACAAGCTTTTGCTTCAAAACGAGTGTTGCTCCACTGGAAGCCATAACTGAATGTGTTATAAACTACATATATAATGTATAACCGACCAAGGAGGTCTTTATTTTAATGAGCATAAAATTTTAGGGGCAGTACCTCTGTAGTCTTAATGTCACAGAAGAGGGTGGGGACAAAAAAGAACAAAACAAATCTTATACTTCTCATGTCAATTTTAGGCAWTTAAACCATAATAACAGCAGAAACGTAATGGTATTTGACTTTTAACAGCATGAAATACCTTGAAACTGGTTATCAGCCTGAAGGAATTAATTAGTTAGATACTGATTTAAAGCACCACACCGTTTGTCTTAGTTTCATTTTTAAGGCTTGACTTTTATAATCTATTGTTAGACTATTGTAATGTCCTGATTAAAATAGTTTTAGGTACATGCCCAAAACATCATGACAACACATAGAAATACCATTTTAAATTAATTAGGAAAGACATTTTCTGTACRAGTTGCCTGCGATTCAGCTGTAGGCCTGTAGTGGGCGTACCAGACACTGAAGAACCTTGTATAAAAAGACTGGAACTTCCGGTTTTAGGCAGTGTTGCTTTGCTGACTCCAGCCGGGAGCAACAAAGGCTTCGCTCGTAACCAGATCTGGGTTGTATGGTTCCAGTTCTCTTCAAATTTAATCCATTCAACATTTATGTGGTTTCGTCTCGATTTCAGTTAATGAACACGAAGTTTTCTTACAAGCCCATGCCCTTATCAAACATAWATGAATTTATGGAGGAAATTAGCTGCATTCCCTCGCCAGGTAAGATCCTGATTGTGTGCATGGGTGTACCTAGGTTTACAGTGAGACGGACGCGGCCCCCATCCAGCTCCAGACGAAGGGTGTCTGCGGAGTTCCGGGATGTGGTTGCCATGAGAACGCCATAGGCCCGCTGGGAACGAAAGCGTAGCGAGACGTCCTCYGCCTCGGTGTGCATCGCCACAGGCAGCTGCACCTTCATAAACTTACTCCCATCGTAAGAGAGGATGGTTGCATCTGTGCAGGAAGAAGAGAGAGAAGCAAATGAGAAGAAAGGTTGAAGAGGAAGATGGTTAGGAAAAGAAAAATGATTGACGGGGGAAGGGGAAAAAAACCACAAAGTAGTGGGGAAGACAAAAGCACAAAAAGCATTCTGACAATCAGATTAAAACATGACAAAGTATGTCTCGGCGCTGCTGCACTCCCTTGTTCCCCAGCCACGACATGTTGAGACTCAAAACCTGCTTCCAACAAAATTATCCCGTCACTCCAGTCCTGATTCATCATCACTCCCTCGCCTAAGAGGAGAGGCTGCAAAAATAGCTGCAGCCGGTTGGTTGGCCCTATTATCCGGTGAAATCAGAATGCACGGTGTTGAGTGTGTTAGCCACTGTCGCTGACATCCCAGACCCCGGAGTCATAATGTAACAAGCTCAGGTGATCCCACTTTAATGTCTTTTGCATACTCATTTACATATTCATAATCTTCTCTCCCCGTTACACGCTGGGGCCAGTCCCCAGCAGCTAAACTGTTTACCTCGGAGAACCCTGCTTTTATTGGCCAATTAAATACATATCCAAACACCCTCTCCATGCATATGCATTCTTATCTTCCCTCTTTTCCTCCTTCCATTCTTCATATATCTCTCCGTGCAATTCATTCCCCCCTTGGTTTCGCTCACCGTGTTTCTGTGGGAGACGGTTAAAGCAAAGGCAAAAAGAAGAAAAAAAAAACAAGAGAACAGGAAGGGAGGAAGGCGTCATGAATACTGATGAGCTGAGAAGGAGGGAAAAGAGAGATAGTGTGTGTTTGTGTGTGTGTGTGCATGTCAGAGTAAGTGAGTGAATTTAAGTGTGAACAGAGAAGGGTTTAGTAAAGTGAGAGCAAGAGGGGGGGGGAGAGAAAATAAGGACAGAACGTGAAAGAGAGAAAGGAAGAGGCAGTGAAGCTCTTGGCTAAAATGCAAATGAACCCTCATTAACTTGAGGGAAAAAAAAGAAAGTGGTTGGTCTGTTATATCACAGATAACATAACTAGCAGCTACACATACACCCACCAGGGTGCACACGTGCATGCATTTTTGATAAGAGAGACAGCTGACTAAATTTTCCTCACCGAGGCACCTGACTCAAAACCAGTCGAACAGAGGATGGGAAGTCTTTGAGGAGGAAGAGTGCAGGTCTATTTGTGCCAGGAAATCAAAAGCATGAACCAGATGGGTGAAAGCAAAAGCATAAAGATGAAGTTCAGGTTTTTACTGGCATTAATATATAT